ATTTATCTTTTAAAATTAGAATGGATTTTGTGGGGTGGCAGGGAAAGTTGTAGGTAGAGGTGCTAATTTAGTCCAGAGATACTTGAAGATTGGCAGGAGAGAGGGAGGTAACAGCCAGTACTGTTAGTCCTTTGGTTGTATTGGTTTAGAGGTTTAAGTTGTCATTAAGGCACAAACTAGAGCCACTTCTCTGACACAGTTTTTATCACATCTGCTAGGCTTGTGTCCCAGGAGAAGACGTGGAGAACAGTGAATTCAGCATGGGCCCATTATCGACTGCTTTTTCGTGGGTTGTAAAAGGAGTGAGACCTCAGGGAGGCTTGGAGCCTCCTCCCGTGTAATGTCCAAGTCAGATTTGAAGGACTGGTGGCAGGAAAGCTTTGGCCTTGGGGTGTGAATTCTAAGAAATAGAGGCACAATTAAGCTTAAAAAATTCAAGGACTTTGAGCTTGATAATGAAAGATTTTTTTTCTAGACTAATGTGAACAGAAAAGATGCCCATCTGTGCACATTTTTATGTGCATTTAAAATATTTAAAAGCTGACAGCTTTTAATATGCTTACAAAATAGTATTTCTATCAGTGTTCTTTTTTCTTTTCTTTCATTTTTTAATAGTATCTTCCTGAGGGCAAGTTGCTTCTTGAGTTAAATCTTGTTTGCAGTTTTACTGTTGGGACCCTATTTCTTTGGTATGTGCCGACTTGTGGCCATTCTTCCTTCTTCCTTTTAGTTATATTGGTAACATGCGTGTTCAGATAATAGGAATTAAATAATTAAGGAAATGAACAAGGCAAAAACTTTTTAGAGTAACAATATACTAAGTCTAAGGTTAGAGTACTGATGCTACCAAATGCTAATTGTAAGAAGTGGTAATCAAATCATTTTTCATTTTGGAAGTGTTTGAAACAAGCCTCAAGAATTTTATTGTCATTTAACACTACCCTTATAAATACAGCTTTCTCATTTTCAACCCCTTTGCTGTAAGTTTTAAAGTTGAGTTTAAAGTTAATAAAGGGAAATAGTTGATGTTATGTAATGTGACTGTGGAACAACTTTGTTTTAGGTAATTTTTTGAAGAAAAGGAAGGATTAAAAAAATTAATTTTATTAGGGCTTTTCTTTAAGATACTGTATTTTTTACTTTGAATTTCAAAAGTCAGAAATTGATTCTTAAAACATAGTTCTAGAACTGCTTCTTTGCTGTTATAAGCCTTCATTTTCTATCCTTGATAATTTTAATATAAGGCTTATATGATGTATGCTTATAGAATATGATGAATTTATTTTATTAGAATTTTACCTTTGAATTACAACATTGATTTTGAACATTAGGTATTATTCAAACTCAGTAATTATATGCATGGCTCAGAATTGGCTAAAGTTTATAAAAAGTGAACTAGAAGTAAATATTGAATATTTCTACCGAAGAAAGGAAGCGGACTCAGTAGCATTTAAGTATTATTGTTAGAAATTTGACTTGGCTTTTATGTTCTGTGCTGAAAGGCCTTTCTGTAAAATCCCTTATTCGGAGCCTATTTTTCTCACTGAGAAAAATAATAATTTGGTCTTAACTGTGCTATGGTTCTTAGATTCAATGTTTTCACATTTGGAGAACTTCTGTCAGCATTCTAGAACTTTGAAGCTCATTAAGCCTTCAGGAACTTCTGCTTTCCCTTTCTTAATCATAAACACTTAAAACTTTTGTTAGCTTTCCCTTGGAGTCCCTGGTTTTTACTTGAAATGGCTTAAAGTACAAATTTTGTTAGCTTTTTGTGTGTTTGGATTTTGTGTGTGTTCTGTTTTTAACTTTCAGCTTGAGTTTTAAGATCATCAGTCAAAGGCTTTTCTTTCAAGCCAGTGCAACTGTTCTCAGTTTCAGGACTGAGGGGGTCAACATTTCTCTCATGCTATTAAAAAACATTTAAACATAGAGTATTTTAGGAATTTGAGCTCCACTGATCTTTTCTTCACATTTTGAAATCTAATTAGATAGAAGAAACCCAGGAAATGTTCTCCCACTGGTTCTCCTCCTCTCCTTCCTTCACTCTCTTTTTTTGGACAGAGGTAAATTATCAGTTGTTCTTTCAGCTTTCAGCAGGCCACAGAAAGGCAATTGTAGCTTTACATATTTTAAAATATATTCATTTACTCACATTATTTCTTAAATGTTTTCCTGGACATAATTTTTTCCCCTTTGAACTATGGAAAATGTGCCTCACCCTCACTATCCCCCTCCCCTCACATATTCTGTGACTCAATGGACACTGTACTCATCTTGGGCTTTTATTTTTCAGATGGCATTTATTTGTGGAGTGTGTATGTCTGTGTCTGACTGTCAGTTATTTTTATCTGCCAAATAAAACTAATTTTTGTTTATAGGTTTTCATGACACAATGCAAACAAAGTGTTTGACATCTGAAACAATGACTGTTATGGGATTACCTACACTCTACCTCACACCTCAAACTTAGGGTAAATTGGTCAAACCTTCTCAGTTTATAATCCCAACTAGCTTCATAGAATTTAGTATTCAAACTTCCAGATAGAATTCTATAATGAGTATTACAAATTTAAAATTTTACTAGGTTTTTAACAGAATGATTCAGTGCCAAAACATACTGTACTTTCTTCACATTGGAGCAAATTCCCTTGATGAGTTTTCTGACTAGGGATGAGGATTTGCATTGGGTGAAATTAATCCAGAATAGACTGAGATGATCATCCTTGAGTTCATTTCTGAATTTCATTTCATCTCATCTAGACTTAGTTGTGTTAATTCATGTTTTGGTTGGTACTCCGAAACTTGAAATCTCCTCATGGCCAGAGGTTTGTAGATGTTGCTTTCCTGCTACATTGTGCAATCTGCCATTTAATATATGCATAACTGAAAGGTTTGTGTGACTGCCTCCCTACCACACTTCTTCCCTGCCCCCTCAACCTATTTTTTTTTCCCCACATGAAGCATCATATATTTTGTTAGGAAGAAAATCCCTTTTGGAAATTGCCTATTTCATAAATTGTCTGGTGACACAAAGGGGTTGAATGCTGTATTCTTGTCTCATTTATTTTGAAAACTTTGCTACTGAACTCACCTTAATCAATGAGCTCAGTGTTGTCTCCAATAAGTTATGTGTTGGATATATTGATTGGGAGGGATTTTAGAAAACCCATTTGGGGTTTATAATGTCAGCAGTGTTTTGATTATGAAAAGAGTTGGAACCTGGGGACATGGAACCAGGTGGCGAATGTCCTAAAGCCAGTGGTGACATGGTGGACTGGTTCCCTCCTGGGATCTAGTTCATGCCCTGCACTTTAACTGTGGTGACTGGCTACTATAAGATTCACTTTTTTTTGCTCATTAAAATGTTAAAAAATCAAACTGTACACAAAAAGATTTGTGAAAATATGAACTTGGGAATTGATGTGGAGAGCTGGCACACAATCCTCCCCACCCCCTGCCTTAGCAATGAGGTCATTTACATTTCATCAGCTGTGCTGCGTCTCCAAGATCCCATTTATATGGCAATAGTTGAAGTTGTACTGAGGCTGCTTGTCTGAAAGAGCTTGTGTGGGGGAGAGAAGAGGAAAATTGCCATCTACAAAGAAAGTTCCCTAGCCAGACACAGGTCCTGGAGAGAAAAGGGGGTTGATAACTGGTTAATTACTGTTTTCCCAGTGAAGTTACTACTGAAAGGCTCTGGGATACTCTGCAGTAGCTAGAATGTTCAAAATGTATTCAAATCAAGGTTTTAAAGCCTTCTCCCTTAGAGAGTGGCCTTTCCATATTTGAATAATTGTGTTTTTCTTTGTACAAAGAGGATAAGGAAGTTGAATATTTATATATGAGGAAAGCATCAGTATTAAGAAAATTGAATTAACGGTTTTTATTTACAATGCATATTGCTTGTTTCCCCTTCCTCTTCTTGTCCTCTTCTTCCCAAACTAAGAAGTAGATACTCCAATTCTGGTTGAAATTGTGTATAAATATGCCTGACACTGAGTAGATGCTCATTTTTGGTTTCCTCTGACAGCATGCCACCATCTTATTTGACTTAGATTGGATTATCAAGCTCTCAAAATATCATAAACACAAAGAAACATATCATAATGTAGAAATGTGTGCCTACATTTGCCTATATTCCTTCCCCCAAACCCCCACTTAGTTAGACTTACCACTGCTTTCTGGGTTAAAAAAGAAATCTTGTGCAAGGTGAGTTTCACTCACCTACATTGGGTATATTGGTATTTACTCTAATATTATTTGATAGACAAGTTCATGGTTGGTTATTACTCTTGACATTAGAAATTGCTAGTAGTTTCTATATTATAGTAAGTAATAAGTTGGGCATATTGGATTTCTTTGACTCTGCTGTACAACACAATGCTTTCTCTTAGCCATGGGGGTCCTTCCTTTCAAAAATCTTTGAGGCCTTTTGCTAACACAACTCCGGCATAGAGTAGAGAAGTGCTTTTTGCAACTGAAACTTTTGAGAGGTAAAAGATAATCATCTTTGTTGCTGATGTTGGCAATGAATGAGCATTTGGTACTGAGTTTTAGAGAATGCTTGGTATTTAGAGTTAAAAGGTGTTTTGTGCTATTATTTGGAAACTTGAAATAGCAGGATTTTTTTGTTTATGTGGCTTACTGTACATTTTATAATTAATTAAAACTGCAGATATTAAAATGAATGTTTTAAGTGATCTCTTTTCCAATACTTACCTGATAGTAACATTCTGCACTAAGACATTGCTCTTGTTCTTATTCTGTATTGGCTACTATTGTAATGTATTTACCCAATTGGTTTAAAAATAACACATATGGACCTTTGAAAACCACATTATGAAGTTAACTAATTTGTAAGTAATGCCTCTTAGAATATGCTGAGATATTCTTGTCCATTCTTTTTTCATTTTTTAGTTTCCTATTCATTCCTCTTTCATGACATGCCTTAACAGTGCTGTGATATACATAGTACCAGTCCAAGATGATATTAAAAAATGGGACATGCTCAATTGAATTATGTAGGCGGAACATGCTCTCACAGAGTAAGTCAATGTGCTTTCTGCTTCATTGAGTGGGTTATTAGATTGATGTGGTTTATTTCTTGAATGATAGAACTGGTTTTAAAAATAAATGAAGCGAGAAGCATCAATTCAGTTTGCATTGATAATTCATTATTGTTGGTTAGAAAAGTGCTACATTTGTAAACTGATCTTTAATTTTTCACTTGGATTAATATTTGCAATGGGCAGGTCTGTTTTAATTTGAACCAGTTTCTCAGTGACTGAAAAGTGTGTTCTTTATTTTTTCTTGAAGTTGGGGTTTTAAATAGTTAAAAAGCAAATCAAATTGCATGACAGGAATACTTTAAAAAATTTACAATATTGGTCTATGAACTTATGATAAGCACCAGTTGTGGGCTATCCAAGCCTTCAGTTAAGTTGAGCTAAACAAAATTTGATCAAGGAAGTAGTGGTTAATTACTTGTGTATGTGGTTACACATACACATATGTGTATATATGCTATGCTGTTGCATGTGTCAGTATTCTTGTCTCAATGTAAGAAGTTATCTTTTATGGATAGATCTTTAAGATGCCACTCTACTTCTTTTTTTTTTTGTGAGCGACAGACGCTACTCAACTTCTTGTGCCCCTCTCCTTAATTATATGCATGGTTGATATACCTCATTATTTGTGAAAAAGGGCATTTAAGCTGGTAGTTTGCTTTAAATTCTCATAAATTGTAAGCAGGTAAGTGTGTCCAATTTTGGTAATGAATACTTACAATGGTTCCAGTTTGATTTCAAAATTACTTTATGACAGATATGACAACTTCTTTATCAAGTAAAGTTTTAAACTCTAAAAATTGTAGTTGACAATGTTCAGAGTCAATTATCTTCAAGTTTGGCTTTCTGTTCTTCTATAATTTGGCCTATTGATGTTGAGAAGTGTTGTCTAATCCCGGCCCCCTCTGTTCCTAGGTAACAGGCAAAAACAGTGCCAGTAACAGCGGCCCTGCCAGGCCAAACCCATGTGGCTTGGTGTTATTCACTCTGATCCATATGGTCAGGCTGGAGATGGTCCCTGGAGGGGTGTTAACACTCAACAACCCAAGCGCCTCCCTCCCTTCGGAGCTTTCCTGCATGGCTCCTGCTGCTTGCCCATGTGTGATACTTGATTAATTTTTCATTTTTAATGAAGTTTGATCATGTTTATTATTTCTCATGATTGACTGCCTGGTACTCCTCCTATGTAATTGATAAAGCCCATATTTCTTCATCTGTCTCCTCTTTCTTTAGGGTAAAGTTGCTAGAGTATGTGCTGTGGTTAATGTTAGATTTATTGGTCCCATTAGATGTATAAATTATCTCTCTTTCTCTCCACAGGAAGTTCTACAGACTTTGACCAAGTTTTGTTTCCCCTTCTATGTGGACAGGTAGTGTCAGATTTTCAAACTTTATTAGAGAAAAAAAAGTGGCAATAAACCTGCTATAGAAAATAAAAACCATACCATTCTTAACATTCTGTCTGTTTGACCATGATTTAAAACACCTATGTTCCAAAGAGAGTTGCAGTATTTTCTTTTCCTGGAGATTTTATTGACACTGTCAAAAAGTTTAAAGCTTAGAGCTTTGTACTGGTTAGTTTTTGAGATGTATTTTATACGTTTTTAGAGGTTATCAGACTTAAACCATGATTAAGAATGGTTGGTATTTAATCCAATGCTATTTATTTTTATTTAAATATTAATATATTTGGCTTAAATAATATTACATGACTCCATGTCCTTATGAATATTGTATAGACTTTATTTTTTTCCCAAATTTCAACTTATGACTTAAATCAGCATAGGTCTATTTTGTTTAAAGGTATTTCACCTATTAAAAGTCATGTTGCTAAATAGTGTTCCACATTTTGTTTAGTTTGCTAAGAATGGTAGTATCTCTGGGGAAATCAGCATTTTTCTATAGACTTCTGTACTAAAATGTACACAACCATGTAAACATTTCCTTACTATTTTTGTTATATGAAATTGTTTCTTGGAAAAGTTCAAATATAAGAATTACAAGGTAGTTAAAATAGTCTGAAGTTTGTTTTTGTTGTTTGCTTTGGTTTTTAAGAAACAAGCCATCATTTAATGTTAACAATTTTAGAAGCACTTTTTTTCACTTTATGAAACTGTAAATTATTAATTATTTTGTTAAGATGATAGCACAATGGTCTTTATCTTACTTTTAAGAAATGTTTACTGTGGTTTTTATTATTGTTGAAGTATTATTTTTGTAATCATTTGTTCACTTGATTGTTTCATTTCAATTTTAATGAACAATTGAACTATGAGACTGTATATACATTCTTTAAAAAATTCCCTTTTAGTGACAGAGGGGTTGTAGAAAATAACCATTGTAAAGAATAAATTTTATAACATGTTCCAATTAGGCTATGAAATGTGCCCAACTTCAGGAAGGTTATATCATGTATTTTAGTGTCCACCAACAAGTTAGGGTCTGAAGAATTTCATGGTTTAACGTGTGTGTGGGTAGCATGTTGCTTGAATCTCTTCTGCCCTTTGTAATGCCAGTGTCCTGGCTTATTTGGCATAAACCTAAAAATGTTGTGGGATGAGAACTGGTAGCCATAGGAGTTAAAAGAGTTCTAAAAAGAAACTCTGGGATGTTGCCAGCCACTTATAATCATTACTCTCCTTTCTACTGTGTTATTTTTCAGCCAATCAACCATTGTTGTATTTACTGACTCAGATCTTTTTAAACCCTGGTACTAGGGTTCTTTTAGCAGCAGGTTGGTGCTCAAAACAGTAGCCTTAATTTTAAGAGGGTCAGTCTTTGTAATGAGAGTCCTCTCGTTTCTTCTTTATCCTATTCCTTCTAAAAATAGCAAGGGTGTTGTTTAGTGATGTTTAATGCAAACTTCACATATATATATGTATGAATTAGCAATGCATGAAATCTTCCCCAGTCACTTACAAAACATATTACAAATTATGGCAAGGTTATATTTATACAAAGTAATAAGGCTGAAATTAAAATGTAGTTAGATATTTAATGAAATGTGTAAGAATACATTTTTACATGACTTCTGGTTAGAGGATCAATCTATTTTGGATATGTGTTCCTTAATTAACTTGTAAAATAATATTAGAAGAAATGCGCAATGAGATTAAATCTCTGCTCTGCCCTAACATAAGTGCATGCGCATACACACTTTTCTCTCATTTGCAGTACACATACCCCTCTGCTTACCTGCCTGTCTGGATGATTACTTTTTGAAATGGAAGGAAAGCCAAGTCCTTTCAGTGATAATTCTAAGATCTTTTTGTCACCAGTAATATTGGATGCCTTTCATTTTTGTTGGGAAAATGTTTTTCTTCTAAAACACGTTTTTCCAAATTACCCTTCCCTAATCATGTTCCTCATATATATTTTTTTTTACTTAGAGGCAGAAATGTCCCTTTAGGTATATATTTTACTCTTCACTGTGTAAAATAGTTCTTCCTTACACTGTGTTGTATGCCCTGTGGGTGTTGGTAACTTCTGTTGATACCAAAACCAAACATACAAAAGGAAAGAAAGAAAAACCCCACATTACTTTGACACTGTATTTTATCTCTTTTGTTTTTCCATTTCTAACTTTGGCATTCTTTAATGCAGAAGAGATAATAATAATGACATTTGTTTACAAGAAATACAAAGGTTTTAATGTCATGATTTTTTTTTGTATTAGTTTGCAGTTAGCACTGTCAAATGGATATGCCAGATTCTGAGGCCCACAAAGCTCTCAGGTGTGTTTATGATATTGTTTGACTTAGAAAATAGAGCAGCTTGGGAGATGAGCAATGCTCCAGGTGATTGCATTCAAAACAGAGCACTTCCTAATCTTTTCAGTATCTCTGCTTTTCTACCCTAAGGAACCCTAACTTTCTGACATTTCTAGTCTGTATCAAGACTGGAATTTAAAATCACCTGTTAACATTGACATCTTGCCATTTCTTGTGTTGTTTTAGGATTTTCTTTCTGAACCTAGGACTTATGAAAAATAATAATGTTAGTAGATCTTCAGAAGAAAGTACTTTCTTGTGTATTATCTCATTTTTATCATTCTATTATAAGAAATAAGAACAAGTACCATATCTTCATTTGAAACAACCTATGCTTCAGGGAAATTGTGACTTGCCCGAAGTCCTTTTAGGCTCCTAGCCCATCCTAGATTTCCATCTCCCAAATTAATACATTTTTCAGCAGACCACCTTGTGGCGAAGAGCAGTCACCAAAAATAGGAGGAGGTAAAGAAGGTAATTAGCATTTGAGTTCCTAACTGATTCTAGTCAAAGTGCTGGATAACTCATTTATTCTTCCTAGCAGCTTTAGGTGGTAGGTGGTGTAGTATTTTTTTTTTTTTCCAGAAAAGCAAAAGAAGGTTCAGAATGTGTAGCATTATGTTGGGTGATGTATAAAATAAGGAAATGGTCTCAGACTTGGAGTCCTGCCCTCTGTGTGTTTCCAACCTAATCCAAAAAGTGTTTTAAAGGCATCTTAAATACTTTTTGGAATGATGGGGAGGTTAGATAAGACTGAAATGGTCAGAGAAAACTTTTTATAGTGGGTAAGACTATTGAGTCTGCCAGGCCAGTGAGAAGTGAGTACGTGGAAGGGGAGCCTAACACCCCATATGCATTGCAGAGCAAAGCAGAGGAGAAACCCTGAGTGAGCCTGGAGATGTTCAGCCACAGCAGATGGAGCCTGCTGGGAAGAGAGTAATGTGTACAATGAGAGCTTGGGTTCACTGGAGGCCTTGAAAATGTATGGGAGCAGGGCTGTAGGATTTTAAAGCTGAGATTCTTCTAGTTCAAACATCCCATTTTACAGACAGGAAGCCAAGATACACATAGGGAAAATGGCTCATTTATCACAACTGTAATTACAGAGCTGGGAAAGGGATAGATATATACTCTTGTTCCGAGTCCAGAGTTATTGCTATCCTCCTCTGTCCTTGAATCTTTTGGTGGAGAGGAGTAGTGACATATCAGTACTGAGTTCTCTGTATTGCTTTCAAAATCTTTTCACTATTATTGATGAAAACAGTCTCTCAAAATAAATAAGAGTCATATCCCATTCCATATTGTGGTTGCTACTTGCTTATATTTGATAACTGACAATCAGCTTTAGTTGGTCAAAGCCGTCAAGATATACTGGATGATGGAAAAATACTTTCTTTTCCTGTTTGTGCTTACCCTGTTTCAGAACTCAGAGAGCCAGGTACCATTCAATTGCCCTATAAACTATACTTGTAACCACAAGTGACAGGAGTATGAAATGAAATGACATCATCTTTTCAGGAGCAGGGATATCACTTAATCGTTTAGGATGTAACTAGACAAATGTAATTCAAATGCTAGTTACTATTTTTTAAATGTCTCTTACTGTGCTACATTCTTTTCTTGCACTGAGCTTCCCATTTGCACTGTTACCATTATCAGTGTTCCACATGTGAGGAACAGAGACTCAGATAGATTCAATAACATGCCCAAGGTCCCACTCCTAGTATGTGGTAGAAATGCTTTTGGAACTCTCATGTGTTTAACCTCTAATTCCACTATTCTTCTAATGCTTTACTATTCTGCCTCCTTTAGATCCATCAGAGCATAAGGCAATCAAACTTTTAAATTTATTTCAGAGGCTATATATATATTATAGAAAATTTAAATAACTAAAGAAAATTAATCACATGTGGGCACAATATTATTTCTGCATTACTGCATGTCTTCCTAGACTTCTCCTTATTTCTACCCCAATACCTCACCCTGGTGTACTTTTCAAACTGGAATCTAGTTGGCTCACTTTAGTGCCTTAGTTTAGCTTAAACTATGTATTTAGCTGTGTCTCATGATTATTTTTGCAGCATTAGATAGTGATAGAACAGTTGGGCCTTAGTGGACAGAGTGTTGGGGATGGCATTTGGGAGCTTATATAAATTTCAATTTGGGTACTGCTACTTATTTGCTGTGTGCTGTAATGCAGATAGATTCTTCCCTAAGGGCCTTCATTTCTTCATGCATAAAATGAGGGAGTTGGATGAATTCTGTACTTTGCCTTGGTTTGGGAACTTTTTAATTCTATAGTTACTTGTTTACTTTGTCAGGCTCATGTAGATAAGGCAGTGGACAGATCTCTGTTCTTAGAATTATCTGGTGGGTTTCTTGAGCCAGATAAGTGTTGCCTTATACCTAGCTGTGTGTGATCTACTGTTGGTCCCCAGCCATTTTGGGTGAGTGTCTTTCTCAACACTTGGATTATTGAGCAGGGAAAGTGAGAAACCTGAGGTTTAGGCAGATGAAAGCTGTGTTTATAGAAGGAAGCATTGGGGCTCATGGAATTACAGGTTGAGAGAAGTGGTGGTTTGATGGTTGTGTACTCTTGTAATCCCAGCTACCTGGGGGACAGAGGTAGGGGGATTGTGGTTTGAGGCCAGCCCGGGCATAGTTAATGTGAGACTCTATCTGAAAAACAAACTAAAAGCAAAAGGAATGGGGTATAGGTGGGGGATTTGCTGAAGTGCAAGGTCTTAAGTTCAATCCCCAGTACCAAAAAAAAATAGTAGTAGTTTGAATAAATTTGATTTCTGCCCACATACAATGAAGGAGAGGATAGTTTGTCAGTACATAGTGCAATAGAAAATTGTTAGTAAACTATAATAAATAGTGATGAGAAAATGTTCCAATTTCACTTCTTGAATTTTATAACAATAATGGTCATTTTGTTGTGTACCTACTATATGCTAGTTACTTTGAATACATTATTTCTAGTCCTTAAAATCATTTTGCCAAGTGACTATTACTTTTATTTTCACAGACAAGATCAGACAGTATGCTCACTTAGCTAATGAATAGCATACCTGGGATTAAAGTCTAGACCTTAATGTTTCTTATTCTCCTGCTTTATTAATCTCTGCCTCTGTTGAATCATCCCCAGCAGTTTAAAGACCAGTTCTGATGTTCTTCCATCCTAAAAACAATACCCACCTTTGACTCTTCATTCCCCTTCAATCACTGTCTGATCCTCTCTTTTTTCAAAGACTAGCCACACACTTCAATTTATTCCTTAGTCCTCTTCAGTTTGTTTCTGGCTTCTGTCATTCAACTAGAGCTATTTCTGTCGAGGTCATCTGAAAATTCCACATTGTTCAATGCAATAGACATTTTTTCTCTTTTCATCGCAATGCATCAGTATAGTTGAATTCTCCCTCCTGTTTGTCCTGCCTGGTGGCTCTTTAATGGTCTCTTCTCTACTCATCCTTTCAACTGTCATGTCTATGAATGAGCTCTTTCCCTAAACTGATCTCATCTTTATCATGGTGTTAAATACCATCTGTGTGTAGATGACTTCCAAATTTATAGCTTCAGTCCAAACGTTCAACTGTGTACTTGACATTTCTATTTTGATGTTTTTCAGCCTTCTCAGACTTAACATGTAATGGAACTCTAGGATCCCCTCCCCCCACAACTTGTTAGTTTTTCCTCTATCAAATGACTTTTTTTTTTTTTCCCTCCATAGTTCTCCATCTGTTGACAAACCTGTCACTCATACCTGCTGGCTCTAACTTGAACCACTCAAACTACTCACTCTTCTCCATCTCTACTCTTCCTGCATGAGTAAAGCCAATATCCAACCTTACCTGGTGTACTGCAGGTAGCCTCTTGATTATTTTCTCTGCTCCTACTTCTGCATTCTTGCAAATTGTTCTTCGTATAAATCAGATCAGATTTATCAACTACAAACCAGACAGTGCTTTACATATTGAGTAAAACCACTCAATGGTTCTTCATTACCATTAGCATTTCCCCTCCCCGCCGTCCTATTTCTTTACCATGATGAGTGAGGTGTTCTGTGTAATCTGGTGCGTGCTTTATGTAGCAGCTTCACATGATGTGGCTATTTGTCTCCTGTACCTATTATTCTTAACATTCCTTCAGTATGCCTGCTGCCTTCCAGCCCCTAGAATCTTTGTCCAGCTATTTTCTGTGACTGAAACACCCAGTCCCTTGTTCCTTGAGTAGCTGGAATATTCACCATCCTTTAGGTGAATATTGTTGTCATCCCTGAGAAACTATCTCTAACCACATCATCTAGTTGGGCCTATCCTCCTCTGCCATTTTCTTATATCTTTGGTGCATCTTTGGTTTCATAATACTGTCACAGCTGTACGATTTTTGCTTATTATTCCTCTCCAAACAGATAGTAAGCTCTACATGGGCAGGGTCCCGTGTTTATATTGTTAAGTGTTATATATCCACCACTTGTTATAATACTCCTGTAGTTAGAGTTCAGTTTGCAAAATGATTGAGCTCAAAGTGAGGTTGACATGTAGAATCTTATTTCTTACTGAAAGACTGGACTCAAACTGTCTATCCACATACTTTGTGCCATCCATACACTGAATCTGTAAACAACTTCAAGATTAAACAATATGCTGCTGGGGGAGCCTTGAATGGCTACAGACATTTCAAAGGCAGCATGAAGGTTAGAGTCTTGGGTTGAATAGTCATTGCTCTTCTCCCATGTTTTCCATTTTTACCTAAGCACAGAAAGACCATCTAATGGTGATGTTGGCCCTAGTCTGCTGAGTTTATTTCTGGAGATACTCAAATTTGGCTTCCGTAGCTTAGTGCGAGGTATAGTCAATTTACTAAGAAAGCTGTCTGCATTCTTCATGTACTTTGGTTCCTAAAACTCAAGTGAAACTTCTCAGGGAGAAGTTTAGTGCGTTGTTTAGTGTAGC